TACCCAAACATTCCAGAGGTATATCCACGGCACTTGCTTTCTACTTTCTAGTAACATCAGGGGGAGATCGGCGGAGATAAACCTAATAAACAAACAAACAAACTCCCCAAGAAAGTGCAACCAGCACCTTCACAGTAACAGATCACAACCTAAGATAGATGGGTACAAAAGAACTTCTCTAGAGCTCACCTCATAATTGGCAAATTAAATGTTGAAATTAACACTCCAACATACAAGGCGTTATTTGATAATATAATACAATATGGGGATTTCTTGATTATGTCCAATTTTGCTTTTGAAGTCCAACTTCTGCTCTATCAGGGAACTTATAATGACTAGGGTATTTTAGCACGAAGATATTTATAGTAATCCTAGCAGGGATACTGAAGTCATCTGCCTCCCTTCAGCATTTACTTTTCAAACAGGAGCAGGACCACAACTAAAAATAACAGTGTCCCAAATTATTGGCAAGCTAAAAGGTGTGCCAGAAGCTTAATTTTGAAGATCCAGTGTCACCCTGAAGTAAAGTGTCAACCATTGTATCAAATTAATACACCTGAAAGTCTTAAGAACTAAGGCACTCCTAAAATTTGCCCAACCAAAACATTAGGAGATTGTTAAGACTTGTTAAAGGGTTTCCAAACATAGTAAAGTCTGAAAGCATCTGAATACAAGAACAAAAAAAGTATACTAATTAACATCAGAGTGAAAGATGAAAAGGGTCCTGATTTAACATACTGTACAGACAAACAGCCAAAAGCCACAATGGAACTTTTAGTAAATGATGTTTGACAAGACAGTGAAGTCTGGGGCAGGGGAATTCTCTGTGCTAACAATAAGAGTTTTTATTTATTTATTAAATATATAAGAGCACCCAACTCCATGACTTTGGGCAATGCACAATAATAAAAACATCACTAAAAAAGATACCAGTAAAAAACTACAGACATTCAGAAGAAAAAAACATTTATTCTAAAAACACAGCACACAGGACTTGCCACTCACTCTAACCTAAGGCCTGGGGGAAGAGCCAGATTTCAAGGGCTCTTTTAAACACAAGTAGGGGCTAGACCAGAGTTCCCCAGAGTGGTCAATACTGATCCCAAGGGTTGATAAGACTATACAAGGGGTCAGTAAATGTCTGGGGGTCAATAAGTGGTCGATAAATGATGGAGGATTGATTGGGGTCAATTAATCTTTTGCGTCTCTGTAGGGCTCCACGCCAGTTCCTAGTCCTGAAAGTGAGGTGGCTAGCATCAAGACCAGGGTTGGATGGTCAGCCACCAGAGAGAGCACCCTTGAGTTATCTCTATTGTTGCTGTTATTATTATTACTATTATTTGTAGTACTATTAGTTAAAGTAATCTTTATTAAATTATTTTCATATAATATATGTTGGGGGGTTGATGAACAATCTGAAACTTCATGAAGGGGTCGATGAGCTGAAGAGTTTGGGGACCCCTGGGCTAGATAGAGGGAATATTGTTCCAGAGGGCAGGTGCTGCAACAAAGAACACAGATTACAGATCCTTAACATCACATTACAGGTAGTCCTCAAGTTACGACAGCAATTGGGACCAGAACTTCCATTGCTAAACGATGCAGTTGTAAAGCATGACATCACATGACTGCACTGCTTAGTGACGGTAATCCCCGCAGTGCCCATTGCCATTGTTAAGCAAGGGACGTGGGTCATTAAGTGAGCATCTCCTTGCAACTTCCTGCCAGCTTTCAACATCCAAAGTCAATGGGGAAGCTGGCAGGAAGTTTCAAGTCCCAGGTGGCTTGCAAGCAGGCCAGCAGGCAGATAAGTGGCTGCTGCAAGGAGGGAGAGGATGCGTGAGGGGTGGAAGAGGCACAGCATGAGCACAGTGGGGCTTGGGGTGGCTGCTGCTGGGTGGGAGAAGGAATGCAAGGGTGCACAAGTGGCGAGGGAGGCATGGTATGAGTGTGGCGGGGCTTGGGGTGGGTGCTGCCGGGTGGGGGAGAGTGTGCAAATGACCGGAGAGGTGCAGCAGAAGCGCGAGGTTTGGGGAGGGTGTGCAGGTGGGGGAGACTTACCTAAGCAATTTGCAACCTCCCCTGCTGGGTTCCCTACTGACTTTGTTTGTCGGAAGCTAGCAGGGAAGGTCGCAAATTGCGATCATGTGACTGCAGGATGCTGCAACCATCAGTTGCCAAGCTCCCAGACTGCAATCACGTGACCACAAGGGTACTGGGATGGCTGGAAATTCGAGGACCAGTCATAACCACCACTTGTTCAGCACCATCATAACTTCAAACGGTCGCTGAACAAGTGATCGTTAACCAAGGACTACCTGTTTCGTGCGGCAGATGTTGTCAAAGATGGAGTACGTCTAAAGAACTACTTCAATATCTGCAAATAAATCTGATATTATTAACCTTTATGCCACTGAAAGTTAAGGCTTTCCAAAGCTTCTGTTATTAAGTGAGCAAGAGGAGATTCAATGTAATTGATAACCACATAAGTAGTAAATTTAAAGTTTAACCTAGATAAAACTAGGAAGATAAATGTTAGGTTACAGTTAATGTCTAAAACAATAAAGTTTGCTGTCTGTACAATGACAATCAGTTGTAAAAAAAGTTGTAAAAAGTGCCTATGTTAATTCTAAAAAACAGAAGAATGTCAACTTTTATGCATCTCATTAAGGAAGTTCTTTCCAATGAAAGCTTACTTGTAATAAATCTATTAGATCAAAATCATATTACATTATTTCAATTTACATCTAAATTGTAATATTTAACAGGAACATGCATATTATAATCAAGATGCAATTACCTTCAGCTCTGTTTGATTCTACGCACCAGTGTATATAATATGTGGATCAGCTCTAAGATGGCTGCCCCTTAGAACTTTGAAAGATATCCTAACCCTATAGATTTCCTTACAAAACAAGCAAATCCATTCACTATATGCAACTTGAGGAAATGAACATTAACTACTGCCACTAATAAAAATTAAACTTTCCCCAGGTAGAACTTTCAGAAAAGAAACCTGCCTCAAGGAAAATGATCTATGATTCACCAATAAATACGACTATTTGCCATTCCACATACTGTTCTTCAGTGTTAGTGTCATAGTGTGGATAAGGTCACAAAACACAGAAAGCAAAGCATATTCCACAATTTAGATCAGGAGAATAGCTAAGATGTTGCTCAAGAAGTATTTATAGTTAAAAGCACTATAAAACAGTGTTTGATCTAGTCTATATAGATGTCCTACAATAAGGTATTGTAAGGTATTATAATGCTTTGGATTCAGAAGCAAAAAATGCTTACAAGCATTTATGGACACAAATGTAGCACCTGTCTGCAAGTCTGTGAACCAAAGATGTCTTTTTCATGGGGCAACTGCAAGGGGCAACTGTGTAATCACAGGAAAAGGCATAGCTGCTTTAAGGAGCTACAGGTAGGTGCTACATTCATGCCCCAAACACACTCTGAAGCACCTTTTTGCCTTTGAATTGGAAGTGCTGCACAGTCCTACAATGTTTCTACTTTCACATTCAGCTAAAAGTCCCTAGCACATCAACAGCACTAACTGTGATAAACTGCAGCATGGCTAACTACAACCTATACTTGTAACTTGAGATCTTTGGAATATTTTGCTTAACTGAAAAGCAAAGCAGGGCACATGAAATAATGTTTTTTATAGGTTTGATTAAATTCAATTCCTTTGTAGGAATTCGAAGTATATGCATATAGGGCCAATGGTTTCTGCATCCCCAGCATAATTCAGTTTCCTTTCAAAACTCATTATTTAATCCTATGGAATGGATAGAGACTCTGCCTAAGTCACAATATTCAGAATATTTTTTCTTGGTCTCTCATAAATCAATGACCTTATGTCCAACCATGATAACTTATGGTATCTCAAAGAACAGCCATCTAAGTCCAGCACTGAAATAAAGCCAAAAATGTTTCGCACATTTCTAGATTTCCAGAAATCACTACCATCTCCTTCATAGGGAAATGTCTTTCCTCCAGATATAAGAAACTGACAGTAGGGCAACAGCCATTAATTCTGTATGCATGATCAGCTGGATCTTCATTTAGGACATAGTGGCTGAAAGTATATACCAAATATGAACAAAGAAATCAAGCACAGAGGATATGAGAAACATTTAAGAAAAATAATATAAACAAGCAGTATCAACATTAGGGAGAAATAGAAAATCTTGGATGATGTTGAGGTCACTCCAAGGAATGAATGTGGCATTGGAAGAATACAGTGGTATAAAGCCATATTCCACTAACATCATGAAAGTGGACTAGGTAGTAGTGGTGTTAGCTACTAGAAAGATCACAGGGTGCTACAGATCACTATGCTGCTGTTAGCCATACAGGTCAATGTATTAAAAACATTCCTCTGTCTTCCTTTTCAAAAGGCAAGTTAGTTGAACAGGCACAGCCCACTGTGCAGCTGGGACGACAACTAAGCCCCCCCCCTTTTTTCCCTATGGGAGGCAGAGATTGCAAAACATCAGTACAAAATAGAAGTAAAAAGAAACTTCATCATCAAGTCAGCAGATACATTACCAAGAAATAAAGATTATTCCGGAAATGGGCGGTAATCTGAAAAAGATGAGGTGAAAGGAGTATTATCGGGCATTCAAAACTGAAAAGTAAAATGAGGCAGGGAAAAGAAACAAAGAATGCCTGTGACAAGACATTTGGGGTGGGGTTACCTCATAACAACTTCCTCAATCCAACAACCTCCAGATGTGATGGCCTAAAACTCACATAATCTTTTGCCCTTATGGCCACTGGAAGAAGCATTTCTCAGGGAGAGATGGAACCGACGTTCCTACAGGCGCACCCTCATCATCACAGGAAAAAGAAAAAACGAAAGAGAAGGCCGAGAAGGAGGAGAGAATAAAAATATTATATTGGAGGGCACAAAAGAGGCTCTCTGGAGGGAAGTCAGAGCATTAAAAAAGCCGCGGGCGCAATACTTGGCGCTCCTAACTCTCGCTCACCGATAGTGGAGATGAAGGTGGTGTTAAAGGCATCATCGGAGAACCGGAAAAGCACGCAAGTCTTGCCAACGCCCGAGTCGCCGATCAGCAGCAGCTTGAAGAGCAGGTCGTAGGTTTTCTTCGCCATGGGGGCCCCCCCGCGCCGCGCGCCACTTCCTCGCCTGGCTCTGCCTCAGCAGGCGCCGCCGCCGCCGCCTTGGGCCCTCCGAGACCCCTCAGTACTACACGCACAAGGCGGGGTCCCGCGGCGGTGGAGGAGGCGGGGGCGGCAAGCGGAGGGAGGGAAGGGGAGGCACAAAATGGCTGCCTTGGTGACAGCGGCCGGGCAGGGCAGGCAGCAGCCGTATGACTCGGCTCCCGGCAGAGCTTCCTCACGGGTGAACAGCGATGGCTGCGCTCGACTTCATGCCCCTCGATCCCTCCTCAGGAGAGCCCTTTTCGGTTTTCTCAGTCAGTCACACTCCGGAGGGGAGCAGGCCGTACGCACGTACACCCGGGCCGAGGGACTCAGTGGACGGGTGGGGCGGGGTTACGCTCACGCAAGGGAGGAGGGAGGGCGCGGGAGCGCGCACGCTGATTTGGCGGCCGCTCCCTTTCTTGCAGACAGAAGTTGCTCCCTGACGTCAAAGGATGTGAACGGACGGAGGGCCAGCCCTTTCGCATGCGCAAATGGGTTGGCGAATTGCTACACCATAGAAGACCCCTCTACGCCTGCGCGAGCCGGGCTGCTGCTCTACGCACGGGACGTGCGACGTATCCAATCGTCGTAGAGTGACGTGACGCAAGTGCACAGGCAAACGCGGAGCTGAGGAAAAAGCAAGATGTTTTTTGTTGCGCTCCCGAAACGAAGGTTTCAAGGAAGGCGGGACTTGGACGGTTGTAACTCTTCTCTCATCCATGATTGGTCGAAGAGTGGATCGGAAAGGCGGGGTCATGACGTTGAGTGGGAGCGGTTCGGTATCGGGCATGCGCAGAGAGAAGGACTGTGCCACGTGCGATCCAGACCCTGCCCTTTTTTTTCCCCCTTTGAGGTAGACGTACTAATTCGGTACACTGTAAAGTGTTTAGAATTTGGGAAGATTCTTAACCTGACCTGAGTTTAATTAATGAGTTGCGTTTTCCCTCAGTACGTTTCCATTTTAGCCTGCCTGTGCTAGCCCTTCCTGCAAGGCCACACGCTATTCAGGTTTACTCATTTCATATGTATAGGCCGGCCCAGACTATATGTACTCTAGGGCGTACAGTAGGTGAAAGTGTAATACATTAAAAAAGCAATTGAAAAAGTAACACTCAGCAGTTGTGGACTTCCAAACAAAGATGCAGGCTGAAATCTCCCTCTTTAACTTTCTTCTTGAAACCAAGGAGCCTTGGGGCCACCCATCCTTCCGGGCATAAGATGTTGCATGAGGTGGGGGCTATCACTGAGAAAGTCTGTTGTCTGGTTCACACAAAGAGGGGGGGTAGAGAAAGACCCTCAACAGGTTCTCCTTATATGGTACAAGCGGACAAACAGGTTGTATTTTGGCAGAGCAATCTGGATTGTGAGTAATCTTGCCCTTGTGCTCAATACAATGACAGTTTCTGGGTCATCTCCCAAGGCATGCCCATGTGCAGCATGTAACAGCAGCTTGATTGGGTGGTGATCAAGGCAAGGGTAACTTGCTGGGTCATCCTGGTCAAAGTAAGATAGTAACTGGCTCACTGGATGAGGTTGGACAAAGCCCATCCACTGGCTTGGAGTGAGATCTGCTGTTTATTTGATTTATCCACTGCCTCAGTAACAATACATAAAAAACAGTAAATAATACAATTACATTAATCATTAAATCTAATATTGCAGGTATTGGTGGCTCCATGGTCAATCCCTAAAGGCCTTCCAGAAGAGCCAGGCTTTTATGAGCTACTTGAAGGCCATGAGAGCAGGGGCCATCCTCACCTCAGAGGGCAGGCAAGAGGGAAGATGCCACAGAGAATGGCCACCACTGAGCCCTCCCTCACCGTCCCCCTCTTGGTAGGTGGGGACCCTTACCAAACATTCTCTTGGATGGGCAGAATCTATCTGGCAAAGGTGGGGCTTGTTATTGCTGTGGTTTCACTGTTGATAGTTATAATAACTGGTAAGTTCTCTTTTGGCTTCCTTGGATTATAAGGAAACATCGTTGAATCAGGCCAAGGCTCATCTCAGGCAAGCTTTTTGTTTCTCCAGCAGCCCACCAGATGCCTCCTCACCAGAAGGAATGGTGAGGGGGGGCATATTCTCCTGTTGGTTCTCTGCAACTAGTATTGGGAGACAGCTGCCAAGCCCGGAGGTAACACTGAAGCTTCAGAAGTATAGATAGTCCTTGCCTAACAACCACAATTGGGACTGGAATCTTGGTTGTTGAGTGAAGCGGTCATTAAGCGAGATGCCAGCATGACTGCTTCACTCAACAACTGCAATCCAGGCACTCCCTCAAATCTTCAGGAGTTGAGCTCCATAAGGGCCCAGTACTGAAAGGGGAGGGGAAGCCTCCCAGTGCTGGGCAGTTACAGAGCTCAAATCTTCAGGATTTGAGGTCCGTTTCTTCGCACTGCTGAAACCCCTGGGGGTGGGGCGGCATGACATTTTATAACGTCCTGAAGTGCTTTGCAGGCCATAAAGCACCCTTTCTGAGGCCTACAAACATTTTTGTTGCCATATTATGTGCTTTTTCTAGTTCTCTTGCATCCTTTTTGAAATGTGGCTACCAGAACCATATACAGTGGTACCTCGGGTCACGAACGCTTCTGTTCACGACCAATTCGGGTCACAAACAGCACCATTCGCAAAATTTTGCTTCCATTCGCGAACTCCGCATCGGGTGACAAACAGGATCTGCGGCCATTTTCCCTCCCGTGACACGTTGTCGTGGCTTCCTGTAGGGCGGGGGATTCTCCCTCCAGCAATAACTGCCTCCGCAACCGCCTTCCTGTCCTCCACACCAGAAGTCGCGTCGAGCAAGGTTAGCGTTCTCTCTCTTCGTACTATTCTTTGTGTCATATTTTTGTGGTTTTTATAAAAAATACATATAGTTCAGAAGG